CCAGTGTTTGTGACCAAATGGCTACTAAAAAGACTGGACATACCCCATTTGCAATACCTTGGGTTGTCTTCTATTGCAAATGGTATGCCATTATGGGTGTAAATTTCATTCCTGGCTACTATAAAGTCCCAAAGGCAACATAACCAATCTGGCGAATTTCAATTTCAAATGTAACGTGCTATATTTGACCCTGTAACTTCCCAAAACGCCATAAAACCTGTACATAGGGGGTACTGTCTTACACGTGAGACTTTACTAAATACAAATATGTGTATTTTATTGCAGTAAAATCAAACAGTATTATGACACTGACCTTTAAAATGCAATTTAGAACTAAAAAAATCAAAAAAATCGTATTTTCTCCCATTTTTTCATATTAAATTATGTTTCATAGCTAAATATTTGATATTAAATGAAAGCCCTGTTTCCCCTGAATAAAATGATATATAATAAGGGTGGGTGTATTTACTATGAAAGAGGTGTATTACGGTTGGACAGACATGTAGCGCAAATGCCAGGTTTTGTTTACATTTTGTTTTGTTCACAATGTGTACATTTGGCTCCGTCCTTAAGGGGTTAAAATACAATAAACAACAACAATAATGACAACAATGAAAATTCAGACTGTAAACAATCGTAATCCTGAATGGAGGGTTTTTGTAGAGTGTGAAGACGATTCCATGAATTGTTCCATGAAGGTGAATCAAACTGAAAAGAAACAAAAATACATGAAAGGGATATAGAAATGAACTGTTTGTCATATATACATACATATATGTTCACATTTTATTTTAAAAGTAATAATAACAAGTAAAATAATCGCTAATCTCAATATGTGTGATAGTAATTAAAATTACATAATAACCAAATAAACACACCCACAATGTATTCTAATGAATCATAAAAACAGGAAGGGGAGAAAAAAAGGTGCAGAATATTTGCCTCCTGTCCTTAATAAAATTAAAATTATAGGTACACTGTGTTTGCATAATCTCGAATTTTATAACATGACAGAAGGCTTCATATTTTGCATTTTTAAAGCTGTGGGAGAAAAGCAAAAGAAGCACGAGAAAGCTGATTAAAATAAAAAACACTGAATGTACTTTCTCTAGTTCAGTCCGCAAAATGTCAGTAAGTGAAACGTCCACTGAAAAAGCCCTCGATGCGGCTGCGCCCCAGACCGAGTGTGCGACAAAACAAGAGTCTACAACAGCTAAAGAAAACAACCAGCGAACCCATCTTGCTAGAGTGGTGGATGTGATTGGATAATGGTTTAGAGGTTTAGCAAATAAAACAAGGAGTTTCCCCAATGGGGATGTCCGTAGAGGAACGGTACGGTCTACATATAGCAGTAATGTGTCTACCACGCAAAGGCGAGGGACAGCCCAAAAAGTGATATGAGATGAAGCAAGAGTCTGTCTTAGTCCGACGCTAGATAGAAAACAACACTCCTTCTGCAGTGAAAGAAAAACCATGCACATTGAACGGTTTTAAATGTCCACAACCCGTCGAAAAGAAATAAGACACAACAAAAGTGTACGTTTCGCTGAGAGTTGGCGCAGAGACAATTCCGTATTGTCTGACCAATCTGGAAGAAAACTTAAAACTAGATCCACGTCCCACATACGTGAGTATTTGGGAGCAGTCGGCTAGACAGTCAAATTCCCCTTAGAAGGTGACAGAACAGAGGGTTCTGGCCAATAGAAGCTGCCAAGAAAGTCCTGTAGGGGAACATAAGCTGCAAAGTAAGCCGAATGCATAACATTGATAGAGTGATACGACTTGTCAGACGAAAAAAGATGGTGTAAGACATTTAGGACGGCGGTCACAGGTGCAGTAAGGGGATTGAGATCCCTCTCTAGACATCAATTACTCCAACTGCTCCATGCAGCGCTGTAACTGCTTCTAGTGCCAGGAGCCCATGAGTCCCATAATAGTTACTTAGCCGGTTGCTCCCCTTAAACTATCCAGTCCACTAGGTCCAAGTTTCTTTGGAGGATCAGTGGATATAATACCCCTTGGGTGTACGTCAACATATGCAGTAAGGATGACAGTAGTAGGGGGTGATCCTGTGATAGTTCCAGTAGATCTGGAAACCATACTTGACTCGGCCATCTGGGAGTGATGAGTAACAGAGTGATCTTGTGGATTCGTATGTGGTGCAGGACTCTCGCCAACATCGAGAAAGGAGGACATGCATAAGCCTCCGGAAGTCAGCTGAAATATCTCTATAACTGTCTGTTTGTCCAGGATGCAAATAGGTCCAACTGGAAGGGTCCCCGCAAAGTCTTCAGAGTGCGGAATATCGAGACGTTCAGTCTCCAGTTGCTGACGTCCCTCCAGTGTCAAGAGAACCAGTCTGCCGTTAGGTTGTTGGTTCCAGGTAAGTACTCCACCCCTAGAGTGATGTTGTGGGTTAGGCAAAATCAGTATTTGTCCTTTGTCACCTCCGCAAAGTCCCGGGATCAGGCTCCGTCCAAGCAGTTTACGTATTGAACCACCGATATGTTGTCCATGCGAAGGAGTATGCAGCAATTCGAGACATCTTTGGCCAGACTGCGAATCGCGAACGACCCTCAAATCACTTCCTGACAATTTATGTAAAGATCTGTCTCCTCTTTGGCCCATGGCCCACCTGTGGAAGCTGGTGTGCAGTTGGCACCCCATCCCCAGGGACTTGTGTCTGATTCCATGATAAAATTCGGCATGGGTTTGAAAATCGCTCTGCCATTTCACTCCTGCATGTGGAGTAACCAACAATGGAGTTTGGTCCTTACTTCAGGTATTACTGATATCCAATGGTCGTAAGAGTGACCTGTCCGTAAATAATGGGCTTTCAGCCCTTGCATTGCTCTGTAGTGCAGCGGATCTGGAAAAATTGCCTGGATGAATGAGGATAGGAATTTCACCATTCGAGCCAGGATTCGTAGAGGGTTGGAGTCCTTATGTAGAATACACATGATTTCTCTGCAAATAGATTTGATTTTTGTGTTGGGTAGGCAACGGACACACTTGGTAATATCGATCTTGAATCCCATTAATATCCATCTCACTATCTATCCTAACTGTTCATATAAGGGTTAATTTGAACCAAGAATACATTTGGAATTGTATCTCCGATTCTCGGAAATAAAATGTATCTAAAATTCTATTTACGGGAAAAGTACTGATTTCGAAATGTTCTTGTTAATTGTCCAAGATTTCGGTATTTGTAAATATCAGATTTTTATGAAATATGCATGCGTTATATAATGTAGAATATAAACAGCTAATATAAATATAGAAACAGCTGTTCATAACTTGTGAAAAACAATCTATGTCATGGCCCCTACCGACATGAAAATGGGGTATAACTATAACTGACGTATAATAAAATTTGAATTGGTTATAGAACACATCTCTTGTCTTCTTGACTGATTCCCAAGATCCTGTCTATCAAAGAGGGTGTGGCTCCAACAAAATATCCATCTAACAAAGAGGGTTTCGTGTATAGCTGATTTTATCCCCAACAAGAGGAAAGGCAAATAGTGAAGCCAAGATAGAAAGGGAAGAAGAAAGAGAGAGATAAGGAGAGAGAAAAAGTGAATAGTTAATTTGGAGAAATAGATCATCGGAGAGAGATCAGAAAAGGACATGACAAAAGAATAAAAATATAGAGGCTAGAGGGAGAGTAGAGTGAATAGGAAACAATGACAATGAGATATAGGGATATAGAGAGAGAAAGATTGAACAATCTCTTAAAAGGACACCGTAGGCAATGTATCTGCTTCATCTCATTAAACTGGTTATAGTGTATGGAGTCCCCTGGTGCCATCATTTCTTTCAGCATTAAACAGTTTTTAATGTTGTAATGTTTTAATGCTAAACAAGAGATCCCGGCAGTCCATCTCCTCTGTGCTGCTTTGGCTAACAAGGAAGTATTACCCTGAGCAGCAATGGGCAGCTGTGATTGGCTGAGAGTGTCAGCTGACTGATTTTAACCTATCAGAGCTCCAACTGACGGTATGAATGGGTATGACAACAAGGAAATGTGTAATCTCTGCCTTAGCTACACATACAGAAGGGGCCGGACTGTGGCTGGCCAGGGACTCTTATTTTGTGGCATACTGCACAAACATGGTGCAACACTGAATGGAGGGACAGTGCCAGGGCACTCCAGGCACTATAACTAATTTAAAGAGACAAAGTGGTTATAGTGACTACAGTGTCCCTTTAACCTTTGTTTCTACTTCCTTGAGAAATATCTAATGGAAAAGGGGAAGACAGGTGAGTAGCAGTGAGATATGGAGGTAATGCAATATTTTTGATGTTAGAAAAGTTGTAAATCTTAACCAATATACATTGTTAATAAATGTCACACGGAAGAGGGATGGCTGTGACTTGGGTAAGGGATGTTTAGTTGGTGACATCAACATATGTCATGCTTCACAAACTTTAACTTACGTTCCCTTCCGAACATTCCTCAAAGAATCCCTATAATATCACACTGACTACCTGACTCCACACACACAGAATTTTCACATTGTGAATCATCGCCTTCAAAAGTGTCAGCTCTTCTGGTCACTGAATTCTCCCTCTGCTTTGATTGTACATCTAATCTCTACGTCTCTACTGGCAGTGACTGTGGATCCTAATAGGACTCATAGGCTTAATTACTTACAGTTAGCCTTGCTTCAGATTACAGTACTTTAGCCTAAAAATTGAAAATCACTTTGAATTCTCACATTAGTGAATAGCGCTCAGAGAGTCAGAGACAGAGAGACCTGCATCTTTTCTCTTTTTTTCGATTTCTTTGATGAATCCTGAATGGAATAGGAAAGGCAAGACAGGGGAGTAGCAGTAAGAGAGGTAGGAGATGCCTTATTTTGTTGAATAAACAGGAAAACAGCATACAGGAAAGAGGGAAAGATGTGACTTGGGTTAGGGGAGTCTAGAAAGGAGGAGGCAGCCAACAGATGTCACAATCACAAATCTTAAAATATGTTCCCTCCCAGACATTCCTCCGAGATTTGCACACTGACTAGCTAACTACACACACACAGCATTTTCACACTGAAAAGCCTCTCAATTACAAGTAAGTGTCAGTTCTTCTGGTCACACTGAATTCTAATTCTGCTCTGATTGTACATCTTATTTTTGTATCTCTACTGGCAGTCACTGGGGATCCTAACATGACTCATAAATACATTCTACTTACTTACATTCTCTCTGTGATATCAGTGCACCCCATTTATTTTGGGGATGCATATATTATGTGAGTATGGCACTGGCAGCTCTCTCTGGATTCACAGCTTCTAATAGATTGGATTATACATATCACCCGTTGAATCACAGAGCTCTCATTATACTCTCTCCAATGATTTGGATGTTTCTAACCTGGCATTTTGAGACTTACACAGCTTGACAGATATCACTATGTGACATGTGCAGGTTTATTAATGACTTTTTTGGTGCTAGGATCTCATCTTATTTTATCATCTTATCTATGCCTTTTTCAGTGCCTAGTGCCCTGATGATTCCCTCTATTACCCCACTTCCTGTGCTGTGAAGAATGTGTTAACCCCTTAAGGACAGAGCTTCAAAAGCTTGTCTTTCACTTAATGACAACAGCATTTTTTTCATTTTTTGCTGTTTGCGTTCAACTGCAATTTGCATTTTACTAATTTGTTGCACCAACACATATTATACATCGTTTTTTAAAGGACAGAAAGGGCTTTAATTTGATGTAACACACATATATATAAATGCTTATTTATTATAAAAAAATACAGAAAAATGTAAAAAAAATGAAAATTTTGTGTTTTTTTTTACAGTTTTTGCAATAATAATGTGTGCATAATTAGTGCAGGTTAAGAAAAGTAATTAAAAATAAATTAATTTAGTTGTTCTGATTTACAGAATATATAATGTGTCTGGGATTTTAAGTTTTTTTTGGTAGTTACAGGTCACAAGGAGTAAAATAGACTTTTAATGTGGAGCGATCTTAGAATTTGGTATGTTTGTCTTGTAAGCTTAATAGCCATAAAAGAAAACAAAATTGCCACACAAAAGTATATATTTATATAAAGTAGACATCACGGGCTATTTAAGATCAGGAAGGAGGTTCAGCGCTGATAGCAAAACAGAGAATATGACAGCAAAGGAGCACACCTATGGAAAAGGGGAATCCCCTCTAAGCCCCTTGGAATACAATGGAGAGAAAAGCACAAATAAGGGTGTGCCTAAGACAAGTCACGGCTATTTACCTAAGGTTGTTTTGACACTTTCTACGTAGCCATTTCACCGCCAACCTCTGCTAAATATTGGAGTAAAATTGTGTTTTTTCTGTTTTTTGGCACACTATTCCTGTACAAAGTTTTATTTTGTGTTCAGTTACATCTGCTGAGTAAAATGACACCTCCATTGTATGTCTTTGGCACTATTTCGTGAAGTTACAGTGTCATACAGGATACCTGTCCTTTTCAGTATTCACAGTAGAATTTTGAGAGATGGATTTAATGAGCCTTAGCTTCCATTTGGGGTATTATAACAGTTTGACTGTTCACAAAAACACCACAAAGGCCTACCATTTGTAAAAGTAGACACTCCAGGGTATCTCATAAGGTGCATATTGTGCCTTAACATACCCCCATTTTTACACCAATATATGCCAAAGTATGTGGTAAAAAATAATTTTGTGCATTTTTTACATACGGATTGCATTTTTGCTGGGCGTTTTGTATATTTCGTATGTGCCACTAAGTTCAAACCTCCCAAATTATGCTCAGCTAAGTCTTCTGAGTAAAAGGACACCCCCATTGTATGGCACTATTTCATGAAGCTACAGTGCCATATAGGAGACCTGTCCTTTTCAGTATTCACAGTAGAATTTTGAGACATGGATTTAATGAGCCTTAGCTTCCATTTGGGGTATTATAACAGTTTGACTGTTCAAAACCCCCCCACAAAGGCCTACCATTTGTAAAAGTAGACACTCCAGGGTATCTCATAAGGTGCATATTGTGCCTTAACATATCCCCATTTTTTCACCAATATATGCCAAAGTATGTGGTAAAAAAATTATTTTGTGCATTTTTTACATACGGATTGCATTTTTGCTGGGCGTTTTGTATATTTCATATGTGCCACTAAGTTCAAACCTCCCAAATTATGCTCAGCTAAGTCTTCTGAGTAAAAAGACACCCCCAATGAATGTCTTTGGCACTATTTCGTGAAGCTACAGTGCCATATAGGAGACCAAGCCATATCCGTTTTTACCAACTTTGAATTTTGACGCTGGGCCTATGTGCAATTTCCAAGCATCTTCGCAGGTTTTAAATTCAAACTACCCCACAAAGGCCTACCATTTCTTAAAGTAGACACCCCAGGGTGTTTCAAAAGGTATATTTTGAACCTTAGCGTGGGATCATTTTTCCGCTAGCTTGTACCAGATGTAGTGGTAATAAGCGTTTTTTCTGCCTTTTTGACATACAAAGTGAGTTTGCACAGTATATTTTGCAAACCTTATGTGTGCTACGACTGTATAATACTTCATATGTTGCTCAGCTATGTCGGCTGAGTACAGCAATACCCCCGTATGTACCTTTGCCAGGTATGTGTGGACATCGGAGGGGCACATTTGGGACACAGCCATTCCAGTTTTTTTTCAAACTTTGAATTTTTACGCTGTGCCTATGTCCCATTTTAGAGTATTTTACCAGGCTATATAATCCAAATACCCCATAAAGCCATACCATTTCTTAAAGAAGACATCCCAGGGTATTTCAAATGGCATATTTTGAACCTTAGCGTGGGATCATTTTTCCGCCAGCTTGTACCAAGTGTAGTGGTAATAAGCGTTTTTTCTGCCTTTTTGACATACAAAGTGAGTTTGCATGTGTGCTATGACTGTAAAATACTTCATATGTTGCTCAGCTATGTCGGCTGAGTACAGCAATACCCCCGTATGTACCTTTGCCAGGTATATGTGGATGTTGAAGGGGCGCATTTGAGACGCAGCCATTCAGTTTTTTTTCTAACTTTTAAGTTTTACGCTGTGTCCATGTTCCAATTTGGAGTAGTTTAGACGGTTGGTTATTGAAACTTCCCCACAAACACATACTATTTATTAAAGAATACACCCTGGACAGTGGTGTCTCTAGGATTCATTTTTCGGGGGGGCACATGGAGGGCCAGTGACAAAAGTAGGGGGGCACATTTAACCCCGCCCTCGCTGCAGTTTGACCCCGCCCCTGTCACATGTTAAGCCACGCCCCCGACACAATGTGTTTTGTTTTTTTAATAATACCTGGTGGAGGAATCATGATTTTCCACCAGGGATTATTAAAAAAACAAACACATTATCCTTGATACAGTGCCATAGTTGCCAACATTTGAAAAAGAATTTCCAAGGACATTTTGCAGCACAGCTATCAATTACTGTCTGGGTATAATATCCCTGGACAGTCAGTGCTCTCTGTATAATACAGGGTTGTGTGTATAATAAATTGGGACACTCAGTGCTCCCTGTATAGTGCTGCTCTCTGTATAATACAGGTCTGTTTGTGTATAATATCCCAAGACAGAGAGCAGCACTATACAGGAAGCACTGACTATCCCGGGATATTTTATACACACAGATCTGTATTATACAGATAGCTGAGCATATACCCCAATCTCTAGACTACTAGTACCTGTCAACAGCAGCTCCCAGACGCGTGTAACAGGGCTAAAGTGTGCGGCAGCTCACACAGATTATTCAGCGGTAAAGTGCACTCGCTGGCAGAGCCAAACTGGGAATCCCTGGGAATCCAAAGCAGCCCTGGAAAAAAAAGTATGCCATTCCTACAAGTCAAAATATATATATATATATATATATATATATATATATATATATAGTACAGTAAGCACACAAGCTCACTGACATGCGCAAACAGGCTTACTGACAGACAAAACTCTCTGAATCACACACAAGCTTACTACAGACACTCACTTGTATAAACAGAAGGCTCACTACAAAGAAGTTCAGGGACACACACACAAGCTCACTAAAGACAAGCTCACTGACACACACATGCTCACTAAATAGGAGCTCACTGACACACACAAGCAGTACCATTTTAACAGAGTTAAGGCCCTTGGGCAAAGCAATACACTGGGGCCCTTCCTACACAACAACTCACAGGAATTTTAATTATTGATAGACTGCGGAGTCCATACACACACACAGACTGCTGAGTCCATACACACACACAGACTGCTGAGTCCATACACACACACAGACTGCTGAGTCCATACACACACACACACAGACTGCTGAGTCCATACACACACACAGACTGCTGAGTCCATACACACACACACACACACACACACACACAGATTGCTGAGTCCATACACACACACACACACACACACACACACAGATTGAGTGAGTCCCATACAAACACACACACACACACACACACACACACACAGTTACTTTGAGTCCATACACACACACACACAGACTGCTGAGTCCATACACACACACACACAGACTCTGCTGAGTCCTTCACACACACACACACACTCTGCTGAGTCCATACACAAACAGACTGCTGAGTCCATACACACACACACAGACTGCTGAGTCCATACACACACAGATTGCTGAGTCCATACACACACAGATTGCTGAGTACATACACACACAGACTGCTGAGTACATACACACACAGACTGCTGAGTCCATACACACACACACACAGACTGCTGAGTCCATACACACACACAGACTCTGCTGAGTCCGCACACACACACACAGACTCTGCTGAGTCCGTACACACACACAGACTCTGCTGAGTCCATACACACATACAGACTCTGCTGAGTCAGTACACACACACAGACTCTGCTGAGTCCATACACACACACA